TCCTTTCCTGGGCACTTGCTGATAGTCCTGTTCAATCCTTTCCTTTGTTTCTACATAGAGCTTGTGTCCTCCAGGAACAGAGAAAGTTCCTGATGAAATGCTTTCCATTAGGGCCTTTGAAAGCTCATCAAGTTTAGCCTGGCAGTATTTAACAGATGCCTCTTCATTCCGCCTCAAGAAACCCTCCTTCTTATTCTGTAGGATTTCCTGCAAGGGAAATGTAGAGGGATGTCACCAGAAGAAAGGAACAGTGGAGATAAAATTCCAAAGAATCTGGAAGAAGGTTTGTTCTAACTGTGGTCCTCATGAGAAAAGCACTCTGTTGGAGAAGGACATGAAACAAAACAAGAATCACAAGACCTGCTTTACTTACAACCCTGAACACTCTCTGTAACACTATGGGAAAGCTTCTTAACTTCCCTGGGTCTCAAGTCCTGCATAGGAAATGCTGGCGTTGCATTACCTAATCTCTGTGGTCCCTGCAGCTGTAGCCCTCAGTGATTCTAACTTCAGTGATACATTGATACAACAAGGAGCAATATAAGTTGAAAACGGCCTGGATTGAGGGTCTAATAAGAGAAATTTTAATTCCCAGGACCAGGAGTCTGTTCTCAGAAAAAGCGACCACCTCAGGAATGACTTTTGGGTGTTCTGGGTAGGCTTGGAATCCTTAGAAGTATTCATATCAGGAAGCGATCTGTACTGATTTTGCTTCCTTGCATTAGACAGATTTCTAGACAAAATGCCTAAGGTTTGGGAGGAAAAAAAAATGTTGTCATTTGAGATACTATCCCTTACAAGAATCCAGACTACTTTATCCTTGAGTGAGAGATGAGCCATGGGGTCAATAAAGACACTTCTAGGCTTCATTTTTCAAGGGGGACAGTCACAAAGGGTAGATACTGAGACAAATTACCACAAGGTTCTTGTGGAACTCCTGGTTTTCATCCTTGAAGGAGTGCTCCATGAAAATTGCAATGGCATCTCTCTCACAGGCTGCGTGCAGGTCCAGCAACTCCTGGAGCGTGTCTGTGGGCAAGTTCACTTGCTGGGCCATCTGCTCACTGTAGTGGTCAGCTGCTTTCTGCACGGCCGCTGAGTTCTCAAGCTGGGCCAGAGTTCTCACTGCGTTCTCCAGACAAGGCACTGCTCCACTATTGATGCTATCCACGTAGGTCACCACCAGAGTCCTCAGCCCTGAATAAGCCACAAAATTGAAGGGATAAGTATCAAGTTATCACACAATAGGATCAACATTCTAAGACGACATTTCTAAAGTCACACACACACACCTATCTCTTTCTACTATTATCACCTTCAATTTCCTACTGACTCTTCATTTTTATGGTTATCGTATCACAGCGCTAAAAAAATTAAAAATCTACCTTCATCTAATATACAAAGGGGTATTTGGAAAAAATAGTTTCCCAATAAGAAAAACTAAAGGCAAAAGAGATTACACAGGTATACAGATGAGGCAGAGTAAATCAGATTTATACTTATCCCTAATTCTGAAGCTTTGAATGGATTTTTATGGATTTATGGGCTAATATTTATTTTGGGACTGCCCTAAACTCCAAAAATATCTTTCACATTCTCCTTGCAAAGAACACTTATAGTATAGGATGTCCCCTGAGAAAAGAGTATATTCTGTATTTATACCTAGTTAGTGATTTTATTATCAGTGGGGAAATTCTTCAGATAAGTGGAAGCCACAGATAATGACAAAGTTTGTAACTTGAAGAGGGATTTGTAAACCCCCAAAAGTGATATAACTGTAAAATATACACTTTTTTCTTGCAGTATGAATATCTCTATACCCAGAATTCCATAGAATCAAAGAAAAATTCTGGAAAATACATCATATAATAAGTCAATATATATTAGTCCCCACAGAAATGTGAAAAGGAGACTCACGATTCCCAGTGACCATGATTCCCTCTCTGAGGGTCTTAGTTCTTGCACAGGTGAAGATATAAGAACAGAAATTGCTTGTTTGTTCCAGGAATTTAGGATCCAGTTGGTTTTCTGACACTTTCTCAATATTGGCTAGGAGTGCTTTGTCATTTGTTGGCCGGTCAAACACAAAACACTTCCGTTTTGGAAAGAATTTCCTGATGCACTCTCTGGATAGATTGGATTCTCGGGCTTTGGGGTTCCAGCCTGTAGGAAAAAGAAAACAGAGATTACAGTAAGAATGGTTTGGGGGAAAGGGAGCTAAATGTTTTTATGACAGGAATTTTTTAATCTTTGCCATCTTCTATGCTTATAAGTCCTTTAACATAGACAACCAATACTTCTTTGCACATCAAACTTATACAACTCCAGAGAGGAATTTGGGAAGACATCTGACCCAAGTAAAAGAAACCAATGGCTGGTATCTCCAGACCTGAACACGGTAGAATAGTTGTCTATTAGATGTTTACTGAAAGAATGGCTAAAAGAGTGAAAGGTTAAGTGCAGTGTTTTAGTCTACTTTATCCCAAGTTGAAATTAGCCTGTGGGTCCACAAAGAAGAGCCACAAAAGGGATAATGGATGATATTAGGAATATTAGGAATGACATCTTGATTATTTAAGGAAAACTATTTTGATACTGACAGTAATGTGTACAATGTTAGTTATTTTTAGTAAAAATCTCTGAATAGTAAATGTAACTAAAATGTAATTTTAGGATGTCACCACTGTATAGAAGGAAAGTATCTCAACATAATAAAGGCCATATATGACACACCCACAGCTAACATCATCCTCAATGGTGAAAAACTGAAAGCTATCCCTCTAAGAACAGGTACCAGAGAAGGATGCCCAATGACATTACTCCTATTTAACATAGTATTGGAAGTCCTAGCCAGAGCAATCAGGCAAGAAAAAGAAATAAAAGGGATCCAAATTGGAAAGGAAGAAGTGAAACTGTCAAATTTGCAGATGACATGATTTAT